ATACCAAAGGAAAATTCAAGAACAGTTATCCTCATTGCAATATATATATTGCCTCCTTCTAAACAACCCCTCCCTGAGGTTGTAAGAGTTTGTAAACCAGTCAGACAGAGGTAATGGAGTCAGTTAGGTTGGGTCTGAAATGACAAGAGATAACAATGGAAGTCCTTCAGAAGTTTACTACACACACACACACACACACACACACACACACAACACACACACACACACACACACACACACCACTTCAAGAGCCTACATGTTGTGCATAGAATAAATCTACCTGTTACCTCCTCTTTCCTCATGGGATCACACACATCAGCAGCAGATTTTAGTTGGCACACGGAAAGCATCCTATGCAAAGCATTGACTTTACAAGCAGGGGAGTGGTCATCACTTGGGCACTGTCATGCTGTAGACTCTGGGCGTGGTAATGAAGATGGAAAACATGACAGTTTCTGCCTTCAGAAGCTGCTGTCTGAGGAAAGTGACCAACCAGGGAAGGGTTTTCTCACCATGAGTTGCGTGAGTGGGGGGAACACGTGTGGCTGCCCACTGCTTGGCACCATCAGGATGGGTTTCCTGACTTTGGGTGGGGTGAGTCAGGGAAGGTTGTTGGACTAGATGACTGCTAACTTCAATCTTGGAGATCACAGTAAGGACCAGTTAAAAGGCCAGAGTAGAATGTGATAAGAGGCCTCGGGTAGAGCAAACCAAGCTTGCCTGGGACCTGAAGTTACCTAGTGTGGCTGGGGAGAGTTGAGCTAGGGCCATATCATGCAGGCCCCATTAGCTGAGTCTTAGAGTTTGGATCAATGCAGACCCACCAATGGGGCAATGAATCTGCAGGGAAGACCCCCACATCCTTAATTCCGAGGCCCAACCGTACTGAGATACGATGTAGCCTGGGACAGGGAACCATACCCAAATTCAGCAGGGTGCCCCACCCCATAGACTGAGGGAATTCAGGGAAATGCTACTCATTTGAAAGAGGGACTTGGGGAATTGGATTAAGAAATTCTGCATACAGGGCTGGAGATGACTCTGCAGATAAGAGCACTGACTGCTCTTCCAGAGGCTCTAGGTTCTCTCTCCAGCACCCATGTGGTGGCTAGTAACCATCTGTAACTCCAGTTCCAGGGGATTCTACTCCATGGTCATGGCATGTACATGATACACAGACACGCACACAGGCAAAACACCTGTACATACACACAAAATAAATAAATCTAAATCAAAGAAATTCTGAATATAGCTATCCTTGCAGCATGCCTAAGGTACATTTGCACCCTCAAGTTCCAGGAAGCCTTACAGTAAAGCATGGATTGAAACTGTGCCCCCTTCTCATAGCAAGAGCTGGGTAGCCTAGCCATGCTTCCAACCAGAGCCTTCTCTGCACAGAAAGTATTGGGGTTACAGGGTTGGAGTCTGTGGCACACTCCTGCCTTGGGGAACTGTGACTGTTTCTGGGCAGATGGGTGAGTGCTGAGCCTGGTGACATAGACCTCATTGTTACCAGTTGCATGCAGTCAGCCCTATCCACTCTATCTAAAGTGCTTGTCAAAATGCACGGTCATGGCTGCTGCTGGCACAGACTCCGCTAATGACTTCAAGCCAGCAGATGAAATCAGAAAAGTTCCCTGAGCTCCGCATCAGCCCTTAGCCTCATCCCCAGTGGGGGAGGGGTGCTGCTGTGTGTGCTTTGTTTCTTCTGCCTCTTGGTACAGACCTCATACAGAGACCAGAGGTTCCCAAACAGGCAGTATGGACCTGGAGACCCGGTTCCCAACCAGATGCCCTGGCTGGACTGCTGGGCTGACCCAGATCATCTCTTCAGATGTCTGGGTCAGTCCCAGACTCTGAGCCAAGGCTCAACATAGGCACCCTTTCTGTGCACACTTACGTGGGTGCTTTTAAGCCTTGAAAAGACTATCTGAACACATACATGCAACCTCCCAGGCTGAGTTTTGTGATGCCTTCTTGATATCAGTAGAACTTCCCTCCCACGTGCTGGTATAGCTCATCTGAAGCCTCAAGGGCTGCCCTTGACTCTCCACACAGAGAAGGAAGCTGTGTGCTCTGAGTCAAACCTTTCCTGTTACTACCCCGTGACCTCTAGAGTGTCATCTTTCCGGGTCAGAGACATTCTCCCTCTGGCTCATTAACCAATATTACCTGCCTCCATTCATTTATCCTACAGATTTGAATTGAGAGCATCCTAGGCACTCCACAGAGCTAATCATGGACAAAGCAGACAAACACTGCTCCCGAAGGTCAGGTGACAGGAAATTTAAAGTCAACAATTATGTGGCAATCAGAGTGCTGCTCTAAGTCCTTAGAGTTTTCAGTGGGGGTAGATGCAGATGCAAGCAACTAGTGTCTCATTCGGGAAGAGTAGAAACCCACTCAGCCTGGCTCAGCTGGCAAAGGCCATTCGTAGCATGAAAAATAAAAGACCCAGAGACTGATATTGGGGTTCAAGCTGAAGATCAGAGAAGCAAAGCTGTCAGCCACTCACTCTTACCTCTACCACAGACCAAAGGGGCATTCCACTGAACCTCACATTGCTATCCTAGACTGCTATGCTCTCCTTGACACGGCCAGAGACTCAAACTCCACATGAGACCCTTTGCCTTTATACCTTCCTAGTGCTGGGATTAAAGGTGTGTGATCCCAAGTGCCCAGATCACCTCTGTGTGAGCTGCCTCTCTTTAGGACTGGATCAGTTTTTGGTAGCTCAGTGTGGCCTTGAACTAACACAGATCCGTCGACCTCTAGCTCCCAAGTGGGGGAATTAAAGGCGTGGACCACCTGCTTTCTATAGCTAACTAGTTTTGGCTAGCTTTGCTTTATGTACCCTCAGGCAAGCTTTAATAAATCATAAATAATATATCGCCACAGCCATGGAGTTGGGAGGCAAATGTTAGGAGTCGGATATGCTGGACAAATTTAGGGCAACAGTTAACTCCAATAGCTGTCATGTCCTCATCTTCTTCCTCTCCATCCAGCCACCTTTCTCTGTTCCCTTCTAAGAAAAGGTAGTTTTGTTATTACTAAACTTGGGTGCCAGGTTGAGAATAAGGGCGGCAGAGTTGGGTGAACACACACACAAAAAATGTAAGAACTACAAGGCAAGAAGATTGTGCTCAGTGGGATGAGGCAGGCTTTCTGTGGAAGCTTGCTCCGGGCCTCGGCTAGAGGGGACTTACAAACTTGATGAAAATCTGTGCAGAGGCACTGGGGGTGGGAGGGTGATGGTTGCTCTCTTACCGCTATCTCTCTGCCTTCAGATGTTTGTAATTGGGTTTCCTTGGTCCTCTCAAAGTGGATAGGATTCTTCTGAGTCCCCTAGCTGTACCCATAGATCTAGGCAACTCATGAGGCAGGGCCAAGGGAGGGACAAAGGACCAAGAAAGGAACAAAGAGAGTAGAACCTCAGCTGGTGAAGGCAAGGACCATTTGGGTATTAAATGAGAGAAATGCTGCCAAGTAAGGATTGGAAAGCCACAAATGGGGATCCATGCAAGTAGCCTGATGGTGTGACATCTACCAACCTGCCATTGACCTTGGTGTGTAGCCATCTAGTGACAGGTGCTTTGACCGAGAGGTCAGGGCAGAGGCAGCAGCCCGTGATGGTGATGGTGACACTGATAGCTGGTTGTTCACTAGTGTCAAACTATCTGTGTTTATTAGGATTCTCCATGTTGAATAGGGCGCAATCTTCCTGTTGGGCATATGTGGAAACCTGCTGAGTGCTATTATCAGAGAATACTGGGCCAGGGCCCGTGGAGGAGGTGGGACAAGCTATACCTGGGTCCTTGAAGGAACATGGACATGCAATCGCTCAGTCACCTCAGTCTGACAAGCAGACTTCTCCTACTTGAGTGAAGACATCTAGCACGTACCGCAAAGGTCTTAAGATACTTTATCTGACCCCAAAGGCCATGCAAGAGGCGTGGGGTCTGTGACAAGGACAGATTCATGGCTGGTCTGCATTTCCCGCAGGGGCACAGGTGCTCCGGGGAGAAAAATGGAGAAGCTGGGTTTTTTTGTTGTTGTTTTTGTTTTGTTTTTTTGTTTTCTGGTACCTCAAGTCAGCACCCATACAGAGAGGACAGCCTGCCCCAGGTGCTTCCCACAGGATCAGAGCATGTTCCAGAGTCCAACTGCCACTGTGACATAGCTTGACCGCTGGCCGAACAGGACACCTGCCACTATGTGTAGTAGATCTGGTCTTGAGGGGCCATCTGAATGAGGTGATGTCAACAGATCTGGGGTTCAATGGCTTGGGCACAAGACCCACATGGACAACTTACTGTATTACACAACATTCAGACACTCTGGGTTTTGCTTTCATCATTTCTAAATTTGGGTTGCTGTGTGTCCCAGTGAGCTTGTAATAGGGAATACATGAGATAACACAAAAATACCTGTGAACTGCAAGCACTAACCAAGTGTTGGGCATTATTGTTATGACAAGCATGGGTTCAAGGCCAGGAGTCTTTATTCTTAGGTTAACCCAAAGAAACTAGTTTGTAATTGTCATAGCCAGCCACATGGAGATCTGTGGTCAGCACTGACTATCCCAGCAGTAGCCCCGGTGGTGATGCAAGCTAACTTTCTTACACTGCAATGTGGTTTAGACTCAAGATGTTTGAACTTTGTGATCAGGATCCCCAGGGCTTTTCATCTTAGAGGCTCAGTGGTTTTCTAATTTACTAGGCTTCCTGGGAGGATGCAGTCCAGCAGCTAGGCTCCCACACATAGGTGGACTCTGCTTCTCCCGAGCAGGATAGCAGTGAGAGCCCATGCTCTGATGTTGGAGAGCTGAAAAAAACAGGACGGGAGAAGAAAGATGATGTCAGCCAGGAATGGTCCTGAGTACTTGCAGGGCTGTGAATGTGTTGTAGGCTGCAGCCCTTGGTGGCTGTGTTGACTGCATGACAGGGTGACTTGGCCTCTGGAGCTCCTTCCAGCTGACACGGTATCCTCTCCCCCTGCAGATTGTGTTCCGGAAGATCAGCGATGTGAAAAGGGAAGAGGAGGAGCGGATGAAGCGGAAGAACGAGGCCCCCCTCATCCTGCCCCCCGACCACCCCGTCAGGAGGCTGTTCCAAAGGTTCCGCCAGCAGAAAGAGGCCAGGCTGGCAGCAGAGCGAGGGGGCCGAGACCTGGATGACTTGGATGTAGAGAAGGGCAATGCCCTCACAGACCATACCTCAGCCAACCACAGCCTGGTGAAGGCCAGTGTGGTCACAGTGCGTGAGAGCCCGGCCACACCGGTGTCCTTCCAGGCAGCCTCCACCTCCACAGTTTCAGACCATGCCAGGCTGCATGCGCCAGGATCTGAGTGCCTGGGTCCCAAGGCAGGCGGTGGTGATTGCGCCAAGCGCAAAGGCTGGGCCCGCTTCAGAGATGCTTGTGGGAAGGGTGAGGACTGGAACAAGGTATCCAAGGCGGAGTCCATGGAGACACTGCCCGAGAGGACAAAGGCGTCAGGAGAGGCCACACTGAAGAAGACGGATTCGTGTGACAGTGGCATCACCAAGAGCGATCTGCGCCTGGACAATGTGGGTGAGGCGAGGAGTCCCCAGGACCGGAGCCCCATCTTGGCCGAGGTCAAGCATTCTTTCTACCCCATCCCCGAGCAGACGTTGCAGGCCACAGTTCTGGAGGTAAAGCATGAGCTGAAGGAGGACATCAAGGCCCTGAACGCCAAGATGACCGCCATCGAGAAGCAACTTTCTGAGATACTCAGGATACTCATGTCCAGAGGGCCCGCCCAGTCTCCTCAGGAGATGTGTGAGATCTCCAGGCCCCAGTCCCCAGAGTCCGACAGAGACATTTTTGGAGCAAGCTGAGAGGGTCCCTTCAAAACAAACAAAAGTCAAAGACAAAAGCCTGCCCCCTCGCCCTCGACACCCCTCACCACACCGCCCCCATGACCAACAGTGTTCAAAGTAAGCTTTTCCTGACAGGAAGTCAGTGTGGGACCAAGGGGCATAGGTGTGGATGTGTGGTCTCTGGAAAACATAGGCGGGAGCACGGTCAGGTGCCCACCCTGCAAGATAGCAGCTGCGTGAGGAAGAAGGGCGCGCCGCCTATCTAAAGAGCATTTCCTCTAAAATGTTTTAACCTATGTGATGTTTATAAAAGGTGAAAACTACCAGAAAAGGGGCAGCAGCCATGTAGAGACTGATGGGAGAGCCCCAGGAACCCCTTGAGAATAGACCACACTGGGCTTCTTTACCAAGATCCTCCCCCCTGAAGCCCAGGACAGGCACTGGGACTCCTGGGCACTGACCACCCCTGTGTGGCCACATCTGACACCACCTGATTGCCCACTCTTGTCATCTGAATCAAGCTCTCAATAAGGGAAGTCTGATGGACAGGAGAGCCTTCCCACTCTGGTGGCAGGTGCTGTGCCATGGACACGCAGGCTGGGCTCCTCGGGTTTCCTTGCCCAGAAGAGGTGAGGCCAGGGTGATCCAAGAGGGCTCTCAGCTCTGAGCAGGCTCTGTTGTGCAGCCCACAGCCTGCTCTGTGGGATGGCTGACATGAAAGCTCCCACACCCATGTGACCCTCTGGCACTGCACCATGCTACAGGCCTCACGACATGGGATTCTCTGCTGCTTCTCCCTTGTCCTCTTCCCAAGTTTGCCATGGTTTTCCTCAGGGTGTGGGGCATTAAAAGGAAGAGGCAGGAGCCCAGCATTGCTTTCCTAACCAACAAAGCAGACACATACAACCTCAAAAATGATTGTAGCAAGTACTAGGTTTTTATTTCAGTTTTCATGGGATTTTTGTCCAGTGTGTGGGATCATTAGAGGTCACATGGGAGCCACACTTAGCCTTATTTGAAAGCCAACCTATTTCCTACTCTAAAAGTTATGGCAGGACCATGATTATTCTCTTAGGGAGCTGGATAAGGAGAATGACACACTGGTTTTCAAAATGTCTCAGTGATAAGCTGGGGGATGTTGGCAGTGGAACTGTGGTCTGGGGAAAGGTTGGGGCTCAGAGTCATGGTCATAGGGCCATGTCTGTAGCATCCAGGTTCCCACATCGTGACGCTCAGGGACACTTGCTGCCTCAGTCACTTGAGGTCAGGTTGCTTGGTCTTTTCTTGATGGTGTAGGGCAGGACACAGGACAAAGGCGCTAGCTCAGGTGCACACCTGGAGAACTGTAAGGGGCATAACCCTACCAGGTGAGCCTGGAAGCTCAGCTCTGCAGTGAGATTTGAAAGAACAGTTAGGAGAGCAAGTGACATGGGTGCCTCTGCTTAGCATTGCTTTGCTGTCGCAATTCAAAATGTCAGCCTGTCTATGGAACCTGACTTCAAGACCTGCCCTACCAAAGATGCTTAGTGTTCTGCTTGCAGGCCACGCACATGCTGGGACTTGATGCGTGGCTGTCTGTACAGAATGGATGACTCTGGGAGATCAGGGGTGTGCACACATGTTGCTTTTAATACAATGCTTAAGGGCTGGCTCCTGGCATCCCTCGACTAAGACACTAGTAGATTCAGTGTCAGATGGTAGCATTCAAAGATACCCACTGGTGACTCTGGGTAAAGCGAGACCCACAGTCTCCTGAGCTGCTGCCAGCCACCCCTTGGAGCAGACTGAAATACTGGAGTTGCATATGCCAGCTCCTTACACATATGCATTAGCCTGATTTTAAAGTTTAGGAATGCTGAGTTTAGGATGGACCCCAGGGTCATGCAACACTCAGCCTCAGATGAACCTGCTCCTAAAGGTCCTTCTGGAACTCTCTGGAACTTAGAGGGCCCTCCAGTACCTTGCCAGCCAGTGGGCAGAGGTCTTGCAGCTTCTTGACAGCTCTTTCTGAGGAGGTGAGTGAATCTCCTTAAGATGTGTATCTCCCATCCGGATCTGAGTGACCCAGATGCTGGAGAGCCCACCCTTGTGTCAGGGGATAGATAAGGCTTCAGGCTGCACTCTGGGGTCAATGCACATTGGACTGAAGTTGTGTTAGACTGAGGTCTGCACTCTGCAAAGGGTGCCTCTGCTCATCTTGGGGTTCTAGAAGTCCAGGGCCTAAGAGTTCCTGGAGATGAAAGTGAAGAATACATGAGGGTGGCTTTTATTTTTCTCCATTTCTACAGCATTTTTGCCATGATTGCCGTCTCTGAAATAAATTTTAAATGAGCCAACCCATCTCTCTCTACTTTCATGGCATGCACTGGCCTGGAGGCCGTTTTGTGCCAACTTACACCTTTATGAGGACACAGCTGGTGTCTTGAGCAAGGACCACAGAATTCAAATACCAGTGGCCTGCACTTTCCTGTCTTAGCCATTATCTGGTGTTCAAGGGGAAAAAAGCATTATTGGGTATCAGAGTGAACAGTGAGATTTCAGGAAAAAAAATTATGATGAGAGACACATTGTCCTTTCAGAAGGGGACAAGTACGTGATGTAGTAAGTGCTGGCCACTTGGTTTCTGTAGATGAGCTACTGTGAATGTCACCCACAGTGAAACTCCATTTCCCAGTGGCTATCCTGACAGGCTAGTTGGAAGGGAGGTGGTCCCACATGGACTGATGGACCTGCTTTCTCCCTAAGGGCATGCAGTTGTGTGAGCTAGGCATCAGAACCAAAATGGTAGAGTAAGTGTTCTGATTTTGGAAGGCATGATACCTTATCAGCCATGCCATCCCAGAGGCAGCAGCAGATTCCACCACTAGGCATATAACAGGCTTTGCAATGCTCTGGTCTAGGCACAGGTAACTCCACGAGCCCATATTTTACTGCCGTGCCCAAGACAGCAGCCTTGCAGCAGGCTTTCTTTTCTTTTTTTTCTTTTTTTTTTTGGGGGGGTTTGGGGCTGGAGGTCAAAGTCAGGCAGTTGCCCCTGCCAGGGAAGAGCTCTACCACTGAATGACACCCGTGGCTCCCCGGAAATACATTCGTTACTTTGTTACATTCAGAAACACATTTGTTACTTTGTTACATTTGGACACACATTCGTTACTTCGTTACATTTGGAAACACATTCATTACTTTGTTACATTTGGAAACACATTTGTTACTTTGATTTCTTGCTATCTGGTTCTGAGAACCTGTGTTAGCCTCCACCTCTTATAGCCTCTGCTGCTTCCACAGTGGGGACAGTTGGGTAAGAACTACAAATACCTTACCAGCTTCCAGATCCTTAGGTGGAAGGAGAGGATAGTAAGCCAAATGCCAGGTATGTGCAGGTTGGAATAGGGACTGAATTGACTCTTTAGAAATACCAATCAGAGGCAGATCTTCATCTCCTTGTTACACTGACATCTTACAGGTACACTCTAGGGCCTCTCAGGAGCCCTGGCGAAGGTACAAGTTATAGATGTACACGCAACTAAATTGTTTGTACTGTTTTGCAATAAAGATGTTTAGCCTTAAGACCCTTGAATGGAACTCCAGCTGCAGTGGGGGTGCCAGTGCCCCTTCCTACCCCTTCTCTTAGCATCGCTTAGAAAAGAGGCCTGCCTATGTTCCCTCAAGCCCTCTGATGGCCTCTCCTATCTAAATATCCCTGCCATTGCTATTGTTCCATATACTGCCTTCTTACTTGCTTCAGTAAAAACTGTTTTCACCAGCTCCCATGCTCTCCACCTGGAGGAGTCTCCAGTGTCCCTGAGGCACTGGACCTGACTTCCAAGAAAGGACCTTTTCCACCCAAGGCATTGGTGTTGAGACGTGTTCCTTGCCACCTCCCAAGCTCAAAGGAACCAATGTGAATTCACCTGCAGCTTGTCAGTCTCTAATGAAAGATGGCCTTGAATTCCTGCCAGACCTGGCGGGGGTGGGGGTCTCCACCTGTCACTCAACCTTCCTTAGAATCACTGACTCTTATCTGTGACTTCTGAGTCATCCAACTGACCTATTGGTCCTTGAGAAGTTTGCAGCTGTCCTATCAGAAGACGGGCCGTGTTTATGGTAGGAGTACAACACCCCTCACGAATGTAGCCTCTTAATATTCAGACACCATGTTTGTGCATCAGTTGGAGACTGTCCACATTGCAAGGACATTTATACCCATGAGCAGTTCGTCATTCTGGGGGCTTCTCATATGAACACTCGTCATCAAATCCTGCCAAATCCTTTATGGGGTTTTTGTTTCTTTTTCCTCTGTCCGAATGAGCATGAATAAACGGAAGTGCAAATAAGCTGAGGCTATTTTTGTGGTCAGCTGAGGATGCTGCCAAGAGCTCCACTGTGTGCCTGTGGCGTGGGATGTGAAGAACATTTGGGCACTCTGTGGATGGTACCCCCTTCTTGACATTTTTAAACAAGCACAAATGATATTTGTAAAAAAAAAAAGTTTAATTTTATTTATTATGGTAATAAACTATTTTATACGTGACACTCTTGTTCGCTTTTCCTTACATATTATCCAGTTAGGTGCTTTCTGTTCTTCCAGCAGTTCTGTGCTTGCTTCCCACGAGCTATGTCAGTGTCTGGCTTACAACCACCTGAAAATTCCAGCTCTAGTTGATCCAATACCCCCCTCTGGCCTCTGAGGCACCTGCACACACATGACACACATAAACATAACAGTAAATCTTTTTTTAAAAAACTGATCTGGGAAACTGATGTGGGTGGTGCCTGTGGATCAGTCCATTTTCTTGTTGCTGTGGGAAAAGAGCAGACAAATGCTGTTAAGTTTCAAACCTGGAACAAATGGCTGAGATGCCGATATAACATATTAAAGCCCACACTGGACGCCAGGTCCTTCCTGTATCCCTCAGTCCCTACCTGTTACAGGGTCCTCCTGACTGGTGCACCCCACTTCCTACCTTAAACTTCTCCAGCCCAGGGGGCTGGGCTGCTCTTCCGGAAGTGGTTATCCC